AGAAGACATATACCAATGGAAATTTTTACATATATATATAAGGTATTTCCATATTTTCTATTCTTTTTTAAATAATGGATTTAATGATACCACTTCATTGGTCAGATATGTTCGCTACTTAGAGTCACATGTCCTTTATGCTACTGCGCATGCGCGAAAAATCCCTCCATCCGACATTACTGATTTCCTATCGCATCTTAATCAATTGCTCATATTATATTTTTTCCCGCATTATGAGTTAGCTATATGTTGTAATGCGTAAAATAAATTTAAGACACAAAAGAAAGGGGAAAAAAATCTCTCTGTATCGTGCAACATTTTATATTCTTCACACGATAATCATTCGAGAATAAAAATGGGGACTGAACAAAATTTCATATCACAAAGTATTTCGCAATACGATCAGCTGCGATGGGCTGTACATATTACGTTGTACACACCGATTAACAATGTTTATTTCAGATAAAATAACTTTGTAAATATGCGAAATATTTACTTATGAATTGAAATAAAAAAATTTGTACACATATTAATATATGAAAAAATAAAAAGATAGTAATTAAATCATTGACAAATAATTTACTTAGATTTTCCATATGTTTCTATTTTAAAATTAATTCAAAGTAATTGTTTTAAATTTTATATACTTTAAATTTGATTTTTAATATTTTTTCGTAGATTATCTTTGTATAGATTTTCTACAGAAAACTTATTGTGTATATCTTTTTCAATCAATAACATTAGAATTAAAAGATAGGAGACTATTAACAATATATTTATTGTAGACGAGAAAATATTAATTTAATGATTATTTTTCTTTTATGTTAAATTGCATTGTGTGTGTATTATATTTTCACAAATATTTTTCGACAGACCCATTTTATTTTTATACGGATTTGACTAGTGTTTATCACTGTTATCTAAATGTTTAGATAACGATAAGGATTTACTAAATACCCCCTCCTAAGAGTTTTCTTATTAGCTTAAAATCGGCCGAGAACATTCGAACGAGATTCCAAAAAGTCACGGGTCACTTCGCGACGTGGAAATTGTTAAGGAATCATGCCTTTCTCCAAGGATTTAAAAATCCAACGTGTCGAAGGTGAACTGGCGGTCGCGCTGTCCAAGTCGTATCCGCTTCACACGCGTGGTTTCGTCAAGATCGGCGAGAAGGAATGGTTCCTGCCATACAAGTACGCCGAGCAAGGCGATAAAGCATATAACTTCGAGACTCGTCCCGATGACACGTGGATCATTACCTATCCTAGGTCAGGTAGGCCATTTTTTGTCTTAACGAAATGCCGCAGCATTTTTTATTGTTTGTATTGATTTTAATTGTGATTATATATTTTGTGTCGGTCAGGTACGACGCTGACACAGGAACTCGTATGGTTGGTGGCGAACGATCTAAATTTCAATGAGGCACATCGAAGGACTTTAATGGAGAGATTCCCCTTTTTAGAGTATAGTATAATAGTATCCATATATAAAAGTCATAGACATAAAATTCACATTTTCTACATTTATCTATTTTTAGATTTACATTCTTCTTATTTCATCCAAGTTTTATAATCGACAAGACTTGGATGAAATTTTTAATAAAAATTAAGTTCTAAATATTTATTTGGGCACACACCTAAAATGCACAATAAACTGTTTTTTTAATAACATTATATTTTCGATTCAATAATACATATGGGGAGCGCGAATTTTGTAGAAACACGAATCATGCACTTTTCTTTTATATGAGGTGAGGAAATTACGCGAAGTAAATCGTTCGTTTTTAAATTAGAAAACACTGTTATAAAAAAAAACGGCTTTCCTATTTTAGTTTAGGTTTAATAGTAGAAGATGACGTATTCGCAAGCGACACTCCAGACGAGCGAAAAATATCGAAATATAGCGTCGAGTTTGTGCAAAATCAGCCCTCACCACGTTTCATCAAGAGTCATTTTGCTCTCGATCTATTGCCGACAGTCATAAACAATAATTGCAAAGTAAGCATGTGTGTATGTACATTATATGTATGTGTCAAAAAATGCAATTTAAAGCGAATCTTTTTGAAAATGTTATTTTCATTCCTAGATCATTTATGTCGCGAGAAATCCAAGAGATGTGGTGGTCTCGTGGTATTATTTTCAGAAGGACATTAAACAGATTCAGTACCAGGGAATCTTCGAGCAGTTGTGTATTAATTTCATGAACGATCACAGTAAGTTTTGCCAAGTCTCGATCGATTTTTTTAATATAATCTATTTTTTATCTATTTTCAAAATTACTCATCCTTATTTATATATTTTTTCCATAATTTCAGCGATGTGGTCCCCATATTGGGAACATGTAAAAACAGCTTGGGCGATTAGACACAAACCAAATATTTTGTTTCTCTTCTATGAAGATTTGATAAAAGTGAGATGAAATGAGATCTTCTATAAAGATTTGCAAAAATTAAAGAATCATGAATCTGAGAAACTAAAATCTAAAATATTTTGAAGAAAATCGAGTGACATAATTAAATATATTTCGATCATTTTCTATACAAAACAATATTCAAAAATTCTATTTATTTTATTTTATATCTCGAGAATCTCAGAATATATTGTTTGATCAGATTTCACTTAACTCCAGACATCATATTTATAATAAAAATAATGCATCTCTGATAATAAAGATATATTACGCGTTTGTGATTTAAAGATATATTACATAATTATAAATTATCTTATCTATTTTACATAGAATTTAGTCGAGAACATCAAGAAAGTCGCCACGTTTTTCGGCAAAACCTATAACAATGAAGAAATCGCTAAGTTAGTGGAGCACTTAAATATTGAAAACTTTCGCAAGAATTCTATGGTGAACCAAGCGGCGCCTGGTCAACAAATGAAACCCGAATCATTTATCCGGCAAGGAAAGGCGAATAATTGGAAAGGAATATTCACGCCGGAGCTTGAGAAGAAATTTAACGAATGGGTCGTCGATAATTTGAAAGACACGGATCTGGTTTTCCCCGATTAAATTTACAGCAAAAAATATTTATCAGCACAAATAATTCCACATATTTTGTTAAACAATATGAATATATATATATATAATTTTTATACGGATGAACAAAAATATGTAATTGATAAAAGATGTCATTTCTCCATTGAGGTCTGTTTTAAATAAACAGAATTGCTAATTTTTAAGTTTTTCAAAGAGGGAATGGAGAAACTTTTTCCTAGATGGAAAAAGTAAATTTAAATTGGAGATTTATTAATAAAAGTTTCTTCATGAACTGTGTGTATGCAATTTTATTATGCAAATATCAATTGAATTATATCATGGATTGCACGACTGTCTTCACTGATATGTGGAAAGCGCGCAGTTATATCAATTAATTAGTTGTAAGTTAATTGTGCTTAATTGTAAGTTCGAATTTTTTCATTCTACATATCGCTTTTGCTACGTGATAAAAGATTTTTTTCATTAAGAATCAATGTAGAAGAAATACATGTTGATTTCATAATTTTGATAGATTTCACTTTGCGCTACATAGAACATACAGTTGAATATCATTGCATATAAGTTTATTGATAATGTGCATGTATATGTCATAACAGCTAGAATGATTAAAGAAGAACAAATGAAAATTATTTATGACTGAATTCAATATTATCCCTGTGGAAAAGTATCCTTTCTTATATTTTAAAATTTATATTTATATACATCTCTTTCTCAAATAGAGACAAGAAGACCTATGCGTATTGATCGATATATATAAGTAAAAGATCTACAGATATTTCGCGTGAGGAATTCGTTTATTCTTATCTACAAAGCATTATCTCCAATGCATCACATGTTACAACAATATAATCGACTTAGAAAATATATTTTCAATTCTAATATTCATTAACAAAGAGGCAAGACAATAGCAGGCCATGATACTTCTTTAAATCAGCTTCAAAAATTGTTCGAGACATGTATGTTTTCTATTTTCTTTCTTTTTATCTACTAGACGAAGAGATTGTACGGAACCTCCCAGCGAAGAGTATCATAAGAATATATCAAAGAGGGACGCCAAAATTAATTGAAAAAATCCTCTCATGCCCGAAAATGCGCCTTTTACCAACGAGCAGTACAGGAACTGTCTTCTTAACATGCGCAAAAAACGCAACAAATAAATATTAAATAAAAGGATAACACAAGTTAATTCGATGTATCTAATATATACATACATAATTACACGTAACTCGTCACAAAAATTTTAAAAAATAGATATTAAAGCTGAAAAACAAATGTATGCTCCCTTCAAATACATCTGTGCATAAAAGTAACATTAATTAATTATCTTTGATTTTTAATGCAGAAAATTCCAATTGTTTCTATTCCAAAGCAATGTAACTACATTAAATATAATTTCTGAGATAATCCAATTAATACACGATAAATAATATAATCCATAAAATAAATTTTAGTATAATTGTCGATTTTTTTGTATCTAGTAATTTTGGATTCAATAATGTAAAGATAAGTATACATGTCCAGGAAATCTTTATAAAAAGTATCTTGTTAAATATACGTCTCACATTTGGAGGAAGCATAAATGTTTTAAAGTGCGTTTTACGTAGGAAGACTCATATATACTCAGATATTTAGAATATAATCGAAAAATCTGCCATACAAAAATATATATATGTATATATATATATATATATATATATATATATATATATATATATATATATATACTCTGTAAAATTTAAAACAGATCTCTTTATAGCTATGCGCGGGACATCTTGGCAAGCAAATGAAATGGATTTATGGACAGTATAATGTAATGTTAAAATGTTTCGGCGTCATCGCAGTCGTGTGTGTCATGACCGAACATCTCACAGTTTTCGCAGTACGGCCTCTCCACAGATTGCTTCTTCGAGGACTTCGCTACTTTTTCCGGAACTCTATCCGAGAAATCCTGAGCCTGTCGGGGACAGTCTTCTGTCTCGTGCAGATCAAACCGATCGCAAATATCACAGAACATACGGGGCGTCGCCGTTCGCTTATCCAATGTGCTTCGAGTATAGTCATCGGCTTCGTTAGCGGGAACTCCCATCTCGAGAACCTCGATCTTACACAGCAGACTCTCGTTTTTACGTTGCATATCGACTATTACGGAGTTCAAAAAATCTATCTGACTTTTTACGGTGTCATTTTCTTCCTGCAGTTTTGCGACAACGTGTTGTTGTTTCATGTCACCCGTTCCGTCAAAAGTATTCTTCAAATTTTCGTGCGATAACTTCAACTGATTCGTCGCTTCTGTCCAGTTTGCGGTTACCTGCTTGTTCTCCTTTTCCAATCGGCTCAGCTCGCCTAGAAGTCGTGTCTCCTCTGTCTTAGCGACATTCAACTTCTCCTGCAGGTTCTGGACATTTTTCTTCACTTCTTTCTCATTATTTTCCATAGTTCTCGCCTGATCGGCCTGTTCCTTCAGCTGTTTCTCCAACGCGTTCATCGCGTGCTGCAGCTCGTGAATCCGCTTATTCGCGCCGCTCAATTCATTCTGTTTTGATTTGGTTTCCTCATTTCGCGACTGTTGTTCTGCTTTGATTCTTTCCACCTGCACATCTTCCAAAGCCTTCATCTGCGCCTTCAATTTACCGATAATAGTCTCTTTATCATTTAGATCGGATTTGTGCCTATCTACAGCGTCCTGCAATGATCGCAATTTTTCTTCTAGCTCTTTATTTTGCCTATTTATGTCTTCAATCTCTTTTTGTTTTGTTACAATCTCACATTCCAACGAATTCCGTAACTTTAGCACTTCTTCCTTCTTAGAAGTTTCTGATTCCTTTATCGTAATTTCCATCTCTGCCAGGAGCTTCTCTCTCTTGTCCAATTCCTCGTGCAAATTCGATAATTGAATTTCCATGGACTTCGCTGAGTTCTCCAAAGCAGTCTTGACTTTAGTCAATTCGTTTACGGCATTTTGTTTCTGCGCAGCTGCTTCTTGTGCGTTTTTTAGTTCATCGTTTCTACGAATATGCTCGTTTTTCATAGAGGAGATTGTGGCGTCCATCTCAATTATTTGTGCTTGCGACTTTTCTATCTCTGCTCTCGCCTTCGACACTTCGTCCGTCTTATCTTTAATCATTTTTTCAGCGTCCTTTAACTTGCCGTTCAATTCCTCTACCGCGTTTGTCATAGTATTTAAAGACATGGTTAAATTCTTATCGCCTGCCGCTTTATCGTTAACCAAAGCGTCGTGCATCTTTTGTAATTCCGACAATTTATTTTCCGTGTCCTGAAGCTTCAAGTTCTTTTCCTGAATCAAGTTCTCTAACTTTAATGATTTATCCAATTCGACTTTCAATTTTTCCGTTAATTCCTCAATCGACCATAGATTCGCACTTTGATCGGCTTCCAGTTTATTTTTGAACTTTTGCAAGTTTTTTATCTCGACGCACGAAGTCGTTAACTGAGTCGATAAGTCCGTAATTTGTTTCTGGAATGAGGATATCTGTTCTTCGTGAGAACTTTGCAAGTTTTTATGCTCTCCGCAAAGATTAACGATCTCTTCTTCTTTCTTTGTCAATCTTTCCGTAAGATTGGCGATTTCGCCAGATTTTTCTTCCAAATTCTTCTTGATATGTTCGTTTTCCTTCAACTTTGCCGATAATTCGTTTTCTTTCTGTTCGTATTCGCGTATTTTCTCGGCATAGTCTGTATTTGATCTTTTAGTATCGTCTATTTGCGATTCCAAATTTGATTTTTCCGAGCGCAATTGCTCAACTAACGCTATGTTTTTATTTGATTCCGACTCGGTGTTGGACAACTTTCCCTCTGTTTGTCTCAACATAGATTCTATATGGAAGATCTTCTCGCGAGCTTCGTCTAGCTCCTTTTCTTTTTTTCGCAAGTCCTCATTATATTTCGACAGCTGTTCCGATGAATCAGCGGAGCTGCTAATCGCGCTCGCTACATCACGCTCCTACAAGTGAATTAAATCATGAATCTAATGGATTAATAAATAATTAATCATCAAACAATCATTTTTTATATACCAACCAGTTTTTCCTTTTGCAACGATAGTTGAGATATTTTCTCTTCGAATCTTACGATCTGTTGATTCAAATTCTGCACGTTCGACTCGAATACGTGAAGTTCGCTCTCTAAATTCGTTTTTGTTTGTTCAGATAGCGTGAGAGCATCTTGTAACTCTAAAAGATTTAAGAATAGTCTTGTGATTAAAATCTATAAATTAATATATAATTAATTTTAATTAAACTAAGAATTAAGCAAACTTCATAATTTTTTTAATTTCAATTTTTTATCTTAAATAAAAAATATAAATTATAATTATGAAATAATTATTCTGTGTTTTATATAATTATAATCTAATTTCTTTTGTTTAATGTTTAACAAAAGTAACTCGCGTTTGATTTTACCTAAAGTCTTTTCGAGAAGATGTTTGATCTCCTTATCCTTACTCGCTATAATCGCCTTCAAATCAGCAATGTCTTTCTCCAGTTTAGCGAGCACCAAAGCTTTCTGCGCGATGTCCGCGCTTATCTCGTCGATATATTTAACTTTTTCATTAATTTGGGTTTCAAAACGTTTAGTTATTTCTTCTAATTGTGCCACGCTAGCATTTCGCAATTCCGCGAGCTCTCTGTCCTTCACCTTCAGCTTCTCATTTAATTTATTTAGTTGTGCGGTGGATTTCTCTTCCGAGGCGATTAAGCTAGCTAAGTTTTGCTCCTGGATTGATAAGATAGCGATAAAATTAAATTTTGAATGGCACATCCGTGCAAAATTAAAAAAAAAAGATGTACTCACCAATTGTTGCTTCTCGTGAATGATTCTAACATTGTTGTCATTCTTGGATCTATAATCTTGAATCTGTTTCGACAACGCATTGTTATTTTCTTCGGCCAATTTAAGTTTCGTACTTAACTCTGCAAAATATACGCGATAAAATCGGTAAGACTTCATCTCATCAACAAGTTTTTGATCTATTATTTATTATTATATTTTGTGGCTTATATATAAAACACGAAAATTATAATTGTAACAAACTAAGCGTTAAATATCAAGAATATTTAAGAATTAAATAAATATAAAATAAATAAGTTAGAAAAAAATTAAATAATACACACATAAATAAAATTATTTGCAAATGCGGTAAACGATTAATTTTCTCGATTATAAAAATTTTCTTGATTAATCAAATTTTTCGATTAAGTAATTTTTATAACATACCTTCCAACTTTCGTAGAGCGTCAATCAGTTCTTCATCTTTCTTCTTGCGAAGTTCTCGTTCAGCGGCCAATTCGGCCAACAGTCTCTCGGTCTCAGATACACTCTGACTGAGTTGTTGCGAGATCTCCTCGATTTTTGAGTCCTTCGCGCGCAATTGTTGCTCGAAAGACTCTGAAAGTTCATGGATACGCTTAATGTTCTCGGTCTTCAGGCCCTCCAAGGCTACGTTCTGCTGCTCTAATAGCCTTCTGGACTCGTTCTCCAGCTCCTCAGTCTTTACCTTGATCAACTGATTTTTCTCTTCAATCGTCTGTCGATACTCTGACAGTAACGAGTCTTTTTCGCTCGTGCTCTCTTTCTTTATCGTCTCGATCGTTTCCTTCGACTTTCGTAGCTCTTCGCTCAACAAATTCGTACTCTTTTCGAATTCTAATTTCATATTTTCTATTAATGTCTCTCTGTCCTGCAAGCTTCGTTTAGTCGCTTCCAATTCTCTCTCCAGACGATTCTCGGACTCGCTGTGCGACGTGCTTTCTTGCTTCGTTTTGCTCAGCTCAAGCTCCAATTGCCGGATACGCTCCACGCATTCATTCACCAGGACCGATTTCTCCCGCGCTTCCTTCTCCAAGCTATTCTTGATCTCCTCTAAGCTCTGATTCCGGCTTTCTAGATCTAAAAGCCCGATCCGATAAAATGGAAATCGAGGAAAGAAGGCGAATAAAATCGCATAAATCTTAAATACAAGAAATTTAAGATCTGATTACATTTAAATCTAATTGTAAAAATTATCACAGATACCATGAAGCTGAGAATTGTGCGAGTTGGTCGCGCAGCTGATCTCGTTACGCAGCCGCGTCAATTCCTCCTCGGCCTCGAAGAGTTTGATGCTGTCGCGTTCCAACTGAGCGGCGCGTTCCCGTCGCTCCTCAGCGAGCTCTTCCTCGAGCTGCTTGATCCTGCTTTCATTTACAGTATTTATGACCTAGCATGATAAGGGAAGCTGTTTAGTCTTTAGAGAAGTACGAGATCATACATAGCGCGTGTTCGCGTTTCGAGTATTATAACATATAATTTCCTCCATTATAAAAAAATATGAAACAATAGGATATCTTGTTGAAAATAAATATTTCGTTCAATATATATATTTGTTTAATATTTAATTTGTGCCAAAAAGACCTATTTTTCAAATATTATTTAACATAGACATTATCAAAATTATATATTTTTTTTAAATTTAAGTAACATTTCGTAATAAATTAATCGTCTAATATTACAAAAATAAAATTGATTTTAAAATAATCTCGAGTAAATTTTAATTATTAAAGTTTTTATTACGTAAGGATTATTATGTAAGCTTGTGTGTTAAGTAACATAAAAAATTTTTGAAGCAGATATTATTTTAATTTTTTAACAATTATGGAGATAAGTGTATTAATACTCGAAAGCGTAATATATATATATATATATAAATAGGAAGCACGTCGAGATATGCGAAGCACAATGTGTAATCTTCGATATGTAAAAAACAAATGTTCTATCAGGTTGGAGAATAAAAGAAATGAATAAAATTGTACGCGTGTATCCAAAATGCAAAAAAATGTATTATTCAATTTTAACATTCGAGCGTACCACGTATCACAAACAAAATTTAAAAAATTAAATTAAATAATATAAATTACTTTGAAATACAAAAATGAGAAAGAAAGCCAATATAATGCATATAATAAATAAATAAATAAATAAATAAATACAATAACTAAAATTAATAAATAAGTACATAACACCTACAATAATATTATTTTGTAATTATACAATTAGAGTGTAAAGTATTCTATACAATCATCGCACAATATTTGTATAGTATATTTTAATTATATTAAAAATTAGAATCTACAAAATATCCTAATGTAAAAATATCGAAATCATACAATATTTCTCGAGTTATAAGCTATCAGAATTGGATAATGCAATATCGCATAGAGTTTGCCCACTTAAATTCATAATTACGCTTACAAGTGTATTGATTTGTTATCGTAGTCCAAATTTTATTAATTATTAATGTTGAATTAATTATTTCATTTAAAAAGATTAATACATTTATTGTAAATTTGTAGAATATAATTGATTCTATTCTTTATTAAGATCGGAAAAAAAGAAGACAAATTTTTTTCTTTTCAAAATTTTTTACATTTTGATTTTACATTCCTCGCTATATAAAAATTTAGAAAAAGGCAATATAATAAGACAAACGTCATCTATATAAATATTTTTCGAAATAAAGGTAAATTGTTATTCTTTAAATATGCATTAGATTTAATAAATCTTTTTAAGTGAAGCAATTAATCTCGCCATCTAAATTTTCATTAAAAGAGAAAAGGTTTAAATTATTTATATGTAATAATTAAAATTTGCTAGTTAGTAATCACAACTTATTAATATTTGACAATAATAGAGATAGTAATATCTATTCATAAAAGCCCCCCAAAAAACGAATTTAACGAAGTAGTAAAAATCAATAAATCGATATTTTCTCTCATGTAAGCGCAATTATAAAACTGAACAAGCAAATTCTTCGCAATTATTTTATTAGCGGCTAATTCTTATCGCTTCTTATAATAGAAAAAACTATTTTTACTTCGATATTTTCATATTAAAATAAGGATTTTCCCGATTCTAATTAATCTTCAAAATATGCTATTATAAAGTACGATAATTGTAGAACACATTCCAATAGCTCTGTGCATACAAAGCATGTGATTTATAAAGCTCTCTCAATTACACAACAGCAAAAGCATAATTAAATTAATATTGTTAGATCAAGATTTCTATTGTGCCACATTAAAGTCGCGACAAAAACGCTCATTAACGATATATAATAATTTGTACAATTTATAATTAAAAAAAAAAAAAAAATGTTTGATACAAATATGTTTCTTTCAAGATTGACACGCGGGTCGATAACTGTGTATTTTAGCTTATTTTTGTTAGTATGGCCGGTGCAAAATTAATTAGCGATAGCGTTTTTTTCTACGTTTTTCGCGTGTTGCACACGTCAGTCAGCTCTTCGAGAAAAGCTCTGCGACGAAATGCAAAGATGCAGGTATAGAGTGATGATTAGATTAACGATGCTGAAAAACTGGACCACTTCTGCCAAGGACCGTCGGATACTCACACTTTGCTCAGATCTCTCTTTCTGAAAATAAACGGTAAGTTTGCCAAATTAAACGAAGAACTGAACGTTTTCTTCTCTCTTCAAAAAATTACAGATTTTCCTTTTTCGTTTGAGATTATGTAAAGTAAAGCTTAAAACCACGGGAATTGGCAAAATAATTTTCCCAGATAATCGATTTTTTTTGCTGAGTTTTATATATGTATATATAATTAATGCATCAAGTTCAAAATAATTTTTTATATAAAACAAGAAATACGTTATATTTTTGCACGCTGCGAAAAGTTGCTAAGCTAATTTCTGAGCTCTTTCCCAAGTTGATGCAGCTAAGCACGCGTGTTGTAACTTACATCACCCGCCACCGTTATCCCGCGTGAATGACGGACGAAAGCAGTGTACAATATTTGTCGCGAATAATATACAAATACCGTTCAGAATCATCTAACATTATGGGATTTGTATGGGATTTCTTTTAACGTGATATTAAAATTTTCAGAAAAATCCATGTTTATTAAATAGAACAAAGGTATCTTTGAAAAAAATCAAGCTAACAAAAATTTAAAACTTAAATATTATTCGTCTTTGTTAAATATATAGAGTGTGTCCCAGAAACGTTTCTCTTAGATCAATTTCACATTCACAAAAAAAAAATTATTATTGTAATAAGAGGAATAAAAATCTCTGGGACATTATTGTTATCAGATATATAAAACAAATTGACAAATGTAGCATGGGTAGATACTTACCGAGTGTTCCGAGTATTTTAATGAGATACTCAGGCTTTATCATATTTGATAAATAATCATAACTATACATATATGTGTACGCTTGATACGTTGATATTAACGTACATACCTGTATGTCGTCTTTATTCACGGATTCCTCTTCGAAACGGAAAAGAAGATCTTCGCACTTCCGTTTCTCGTCTTCCAGCTGCACCATCAATCCATTTCTTTCGTTGACGAGTTTGGTGACAGTGACCTCCGCTTCGTTGACAGTTTGTTGCATCTGTTCGCGATACTAAATATCGTCAACGACGAAAAAAATGGAAGAAAAGAAAAAATGAAACTCAACGAACAGAAGGATTTCAAAACTGGAACAAAACTCTTTGGAAATATAAAGTTTCAATTTATCATGTCGATAATATAATTTCGATGTATTGCGATAGAATTTCACTAATAAAATATATAATAAATCAATCAATAATAAAAATAATAATTATCAAAAATAATATATATAGCATGTGCTTTCAGCACAAGCAAAAGTAAAAATTAGTAAGAGGTATTTCAAAATTCCAGATCTTTTAAAAACTCGTTGTTTTTTTTATACTTGATTTTAACGCTATAAATATCTTACCTTATCATATTCTTGTTTGATAGAAAGCGCAGATTGCTCCGCTTGATCAGCTTGATTCGCCGCTTTGGTGACCCTTTCGCGCTCCAAATCCCGTTGCTTTCGCAGAAGCTCTATCTCGTGCTGCTTCTCTTTCAGAATCTCCTAAAACCACGAGCTGGGTTCTAATTCAAAATCACAAGTGCTGTGAAGAATTTTCAGGGAAGGATTTTAGGAAAGAAATCATTTTATTATATTACTAACGCGCGATAACGCACATTACCAACCGGATAATTTTAATGTATTAATATTATTATATATTGGAATTTACGGTAAAATAATCCCTACATAAATTATTCGCGATGGAATTGATAACGTAAATAGAAAAGGCAGAGCTGAAATAATCTATTTCACGATTTTCTTTGGTATACTTTTTATAAAAGCTATAGAACGGGCTAAAATAAAAGATAGAATGCTTTTCTTATTACGTCATACAATTGTTTACAAATTAGTACAGCAAACTTGCGATACTAAAAACATTTATTGATTCTTTCATATCGATATATAGTTTTTCGTAAACTTTTTTACAAAAGCCGCGGAAACGCTATTTAAAATGAAGGCATTAGATTAATGGAACAATTCTTTCGCTGCATTATGCAAATTTTTACAATACACGAGTGAAGTAAATCAACAATACTATGACTCAAATATTAAATTGGGCATTAAATTGCAATAACAGCCAGTCGATTGTTAACTCGCACAATGCATTCTGCATTATGCAACAGTTTTGCCGCGTTATTATCGAGTTTTTAATAAATGCGAGATAGCCACGGACATGCAGATGATATTCTGGATCGACGACGCGCGATTAGCAATACAAATCAAGAGTATACACGTTACATCGCATTATCCGATCGGACGAGTTTGATTAATCGACTCGATGATGTTGGTCGTCGTTTGTACGCCAACGCAACATCGATCGGACTTACGTTTAACTCTGTCGTGGAAAATGTTTTTGAGATATAAATTAATCGAGTTGCCACGATAATCTCGTACGATATCACTAAAGAAAAATTACATCGGATGCAATAACGGCAAACTTTTAATTATCGCGTGAAAGAAACGACGACACAGAAGAGATATACTCACCCAGAAACTAGAGAAAAGAATTTACGAGGAAGAGAAAAAGAGGATGTAGAATTTTATTAACATTATATACACATAAATCAACTATCGCTATATATTACAAGCTCCGACGAGAGCGATAACAATAAATTAATAAATAAATAAAACGCAGTCACACAGAGAGCGACCGTTAACGATCGAGATCGCTAATCATCTAATTCGATTCGCTAATTATCCTAATTATCCAAATATACGAAACTAATTGCGAGCGATAGGAGAGAATCGCGAGGTGGCTTATCAACGATCGCTTCTAATTGGCGAGGATAATGAATTAATCAGGAGCTATTATTGGAGTTACGGTCTCACCTGCAGTGAATCTCGTGAAACAAGTGTCGACATGCGCATGCCAGGCCTCTGCAATGTCTGATGTAAACGGAAACAAAAAATAAATAAATAAAGATAAAATCGTGCACAAAAATCTTAACGACAATTTTAGATAACAATTAATACATTAATCTCGCACGAAATCACGCACGTTAAGATACATAACGGTTTTTGTTAAAGAAAAAAGGAATGTATAGGCTGCCTATAAAAAGCGAGAATGATGATCTACAAGTTACCGTGTAATCGGCTTTTAAGAAACTCGGCAGAAGAATTCAAACCGAAAGTTTTAAACGTCGATTACACCTAATATCACCAACGGGAACAACAACATCAACAACACATTCTACAGCTAAATTAATAGAAAAATAAGGCCGATAGCGTTGACAGCGAACTGCGAGACAGATGCACTTCCTCATTCCCTCATTTCGGCATGGTGAACCTTACCCTCGTCGTGCCGATCGGTGTACTCGTTTTCGCGTTGACGCTGATAATGCTGGACGCAAGTGAGTCGCGCGAACCGCTTCTCTTCTGAAGGCTGGGGATGTTAATAGCGGTGCCGTTGCCACCACCGCTCGACTTATACACCATGGATGATTTTCTGACGGATGGCGATCTGCTGACCTTGTGCGGGACCGTGAAGAGACCGTGCTTGGGCGGGCACTCGAAGTATCTGGATCAACGGGTGGGTTAGTTCCGCGGGGTCTCTCGGGAATGCACGGATTGCAGAGAATAAAGGGAGATTATGCGAACTATGCAAACTATACTCGTGATCATTCCAAGCGTTTTTGAGATCATGCGTGCTCTGGGGACCGAATCGAATGAGAGAGGAGCTATTTAAGGTTCCTAAGATTGTTGCGGAGAAATTAAAATTAAAAATTGTATCTCTCATCGCGAAGACATCTCGTGCGGCAGAAGATGTGTGTGTGATGAAGAAGAGGGATGATTTCTTTTTTTACGAGATTCGATAAGGGAGATGCACACCTTTTCCCGTTGACGGAGCCGTCGTTCTTGCCGAGCGGCTCGTCCAGTTCCACGCCGTACCATTCGCCCCCGGCGAAATCCGTGGGCCCTTGATACCTAAGTATGCCGGTTTTGCTACCCTGCATCGACGACGCTATCACACGATCACCTATCTTCAGTTCATCCCTCTGCGACATCGATGAGGACAAGCTTGTCGTTGATACATCTGCGTTCATAGTTTTTAGCGATGCGCGATCAATATATAGCGATTCATTAAAAGCCACGCGAGCTAAATAATTTTTCAATAAAACTAACAATAAATCTTTTTTTTTTTCTAGATACTAATAAAAAACTAAATCATATAGCTGTCTCTCTCTCTCACATGCTTCTATAAATATATTTATTCAAATATGTTTATTGTTTTCTATCTTAAATGTTCATTGGGAAAAAAATTTATTGTTTTTAAGTTAAATTAAATTTGACTTTTTATACAAAGCAAAAGAATGAAATATTTTATTCTCTTTTATACATTAAAAAATTAATTGCTTTTCTGTGTTCTATTATATATATCCACGGAAACAAATTGCTTCCTATGAATATGTAAATATTAATTTGTTTGATATATATCTTTTTTTATTAATAAATTTATTCCTTTCGAAGTTATAAAAAATGCCTTTCTAGAAAATTAGATCTCCTAGTCGCTTTTGACAATATATATTTTTGCAAAAAAAAAATGTTTATTCAAAGTATTCTCTGTTGATATAAGTGGGTTAAATTAAATTATTATTTTGAAATTAAATAATAACGTTTCGCTACATGCAAAATTAAATTATTTCCATGCTATGCGCCGACAAAAAAAATAGTTTCACCTCTTGGCCTTTTTACACTAAATTGCATAGTCTATTCTACGCGGTAGCGTGTTTATTAAAGCAACATCATAATACTATAACTAAAATAATAATTTGTGTGCTCTTTAAGCCTATGATATATAACACGACTAACTTTCACCCCGCTTTTCTTTTATTGTGTCATTCTAATAACATTTTGTTATCAAATAGCACATTAGTCTCTCATAATATATAATCATGTGCTACAAATAATTTTTTAAATAAAGTATTTACCTAAGAATGTTCTTTTCTGATTAATTTATACTGGTCATTTACTTAAATTTTTTTAAGTCGGCTAATATTTTCGGCGGATATTCTAGGAGTATAGTGGGAAGAAGAGAGGGTGAAAGAGTTAAAGTCGAGAAATTAAATAAAATTCGTGGATGGTGTGTATCGTGCAACGCTAGTTAGAGATCTACGGACGTGGCGAGTATCTCTTGTAGCGATCCTTACTCAATGACGGCGACATGGATTTGCCGAAATAGCTGCCCCTGATGCTTTCGGGCGGCGATGTCGGCGTCGAGGTCGCGCTCATCTGATAACCGCCCAGCGGCGCCCTGGTCAGCCTGGTGAGCCTCGAGAAGATCCCCTTTTTTGGTTCGCACTGGAAGTATTGGCTACCCGCCACCGAACCGTCGTTCTTCCCTGCAGTTTAAGGTCGCGTCTTCTGTGAGCTTCGCCAATCTTTTCTCTCAATTAATTTTTCTATCTCTGTCTATCTTTGTATCAATTAAAGAATATTCCGACCTTTATTCGCGATTAATGGAGATTCTTTCGGGGTGAAAAGGAGTAGTTTTGTGCTGGATCTTGATTAGTCAGGACGACATGGAAGAAAATTCTTAATAATTCCGGATTTCTGATATTCGTCGGAACTCTTCAAGATTTGCTTCTGAGCTTTACGATTCGTACGATCAGCTAGGATCGTTAGGATGGTCCTTACCGATGGGCTCGTCCAGGACGACTCCTGCCCAGTCCCCAGGTGCGAACTTGGTCTCGCCGATGTAGGCAATTCTGCCGGGTTTTGTGCCGCCGACCCATACTCGATCACCGATCATAAAGCTTTCTGTGTCCTCAGTCAGAACGACGCTGGTATCTGCGCGGGATCGAAGACGATTCTTTTTAAAATGCGACTATCTCGACGATATTACAATCCGATTAATTTAAAAATATAATCTAAAATTTGTTTCCCCGCAAAAAAATTAGAAATAAATCATGATTTTAATGATAAATACTGTTTGATATTATTATAAATTTAGAATGTTCTCATAACTTACTTGATTTTTATTAGATTCTCTCTAAGAAATTTCAAACGTACATTTTCTCAAATTGATCGAGGCATTTATATTTTAAATAACGATTAAAAAATATTTTAATTTAACAAAATTTTAGTTTTAATTTTATAATTACAAAGAAACAATATTAAAAAGTAGATGCTATAAATGATTGTTATATATAAACTTCTTCAAAATCTTTGCCGAATTGAAGAAATCATATTTTCCAATTTTGCCAAAGATTCATAAAAAATATTTACTGATTCTAAGAGTTTGCAGATATTTTCAACGTTATATTAAAATAATACTACATTTATTAAATTACTACAAACATTTCACGCATGTGTAATATTATATATAATATGTGATTATATATAGATATACACGATATAGTGCAAAGCAAAAACACATTACGCAATACAAACATCACACACACTACTTCTTACACATCGTTTATAAATTTCTAGCTATATTCAAAATTTCATATATATTCAGCATTGTTGCAAAAGCGGAATGATGTTGAATCTCGCTATAAAGTCCGGTTTTGCAACATAAATTTTAACGAACGTCTTGCGAGACTAGGCTTCAAGCAGTTTCGAAATTATTGTCACCTTTCTCGCGGTATGCGGGGATTTCATAAATGCATTACGATCTTCGAGAACACAGAAAAACTTGAGTGCCACTTACCTGACCCTCTTCGCAAGCTGGCCTCGTCTATTTGACGGCCGCGCGATTCCCATAGAGGCTCCATCTGCTCTGCCGTTGTCATGCAAAATAACGCAAATCATAGCAAAACAACGAAAATAAAGAGCAATGTATTCTTTCGCGCGAAAAACTTTTCACTTTGCTATATAATCGAGAGTGCATAATTAAACTGCTTAATTAAAGTTTCTCCCAATTAATTTTAATTATCATTAATTTTCGTGTTAATGATAATTCGTATATGCAAAAGAGAGAATCGCGCGCTATAATTTAATATAAATTTATTACATTAGCAAAATAATATTTATCTATGCAAAATGAAAATTTTCAATAATAATCAAAATATTGCAAAGATTGATATTGATTAATTACAAATTAATACAAAATAATGTGAATATATGTGATTAGTATATTAAATATAATACATACGCAATATTTACATCAGCTTGTTATTTTTTCAAGGCTAATTTGCGTAATGTCGATAATAAATTTGGGGATATGTGATGTCGCCAGCTAGATCGCACAAAGTTGATTATAGCTAAGTTAATTGCTAATAATTATGAAGTGAAGAGATACAACGGAAGATGGCTCGGCGTGAAATAGATCAGGGCTTGGTTTGGTAATTGCCATTGCGATAATCGCCATCGGAAGTCAATCACAATCGGCTCAAGACAGAGAGTTATGTAAACGAATGATTAATGATGAGTCAGGGTGTGTGCAAATGACGCCGATAAGATCTGGCGATTTCTAGCGCAATATGCAATCGTTCGAGATATTTTTAGATGATGCTCATTGCATCTTATTATTTCAATCAACCAACAAGAAGGAAAACGCGTGCTTTCTTGTCTTCATGATAAACTCTCGTAAGAAATTTGTTCTTTTTATTTTTATTTTTTTAATTATTCATCAAAAAAGTATATTTAATTTTAAATTTATATAATTAATAATTTTATAAATTTCTAATATAATATTTAATAATTTAATATTTATAATTTTAATTCTAAATTATCGATTTTCTAATTTTAGTGATCATTTATTTCTATAAATTTATCGTGGATTTTCTCTTGTATTTGTATACATCCGATCGAAGTCTTAAGTTTCCACCGAGTTTCGCGATTTCTTTATAGAAATATAAGGTAAGATATCGCAACCTATGTGATTACGCGTCGGCATCACAAAGCTTCATCGTTCACCTTGTCAATGTTTTCGCGGCGCGCGCCGCGAAAAAAACTCCGCAAAAGGAGTCACCGATATATATGTCCGGGTATAATCGCGGCGATTCTCGCACGATACTTGATTAATTATTTATGGAAAAGCGGCGAACGTGGGCGCGTACCTTGTCGTAGTAGGTCGATAGCGTGGGTCGAAATCTCTGTTCGACGAGATGAAATCGCGATTACGCGGCGAGATATCTCCGCCGCAGCGGCAGAGAGGCATTATTATGCATAAATCCCCGGCGTCTTTATCGCAGTGCAATCTACATTAAATGCGCCTTTTTATGCGTACGTTGCTTTTAATAACGTGAGTGAGCGATTGACGGTGCTTATCGACATTAAAAATGTGTTTAAACGAGACGTTCTGAAACGTTCGATCTTAACATCGATAAATGAGGAGAAGCAATGATTTAAGATTATTACTATTAGATTTAAATAAACTACTAAAACTTCTGCTTTTTCAGTTTTAATTATTAAAATTTTAATATTGTAAAATATTAAATATAAATTATTATATATAAAAATATATAATATTGAAAGAATAAAAGATTATACGAGACGAATCTTGATCTTCTCGATTAAATTTCGAGCAAAAAAAATGTATCCTATATTTTTGTTAAGAAACATGTGCTTCTCATTAAAACTCGCAGGACTCGTTTATTTCCGTACAATTTTTGTTGCTGCGTAAATTTATGCAAAACCTTGCGCGATGACAATCTATGATTAGAGTCATACGTGACGTGCGTTGCACGATCGCTCGCGGTGATTCAATGACAGGATACACTGTATTTTTTAATTCGAGCGTGTTAACTGCGATTAAATGTATCAATGAGATCTGATGCAAAACCGCGGCGCCATCATTCGTTCGCGAGTCTCTGTGAATTATTATGCGCATTGCATGATGAATTACCTTTACACTCTTTGATCTTCTATGTATCTTATATTATCATCTGATATACTATTAAATATCGGTCGCTATTTAATAGCATGTCGCAATTGAATTGTAATTCCTATGAAATTAATTAAATACATGTAAATGTTCTAAAAATAATGTGTATCTCAAGAAAAAAATTTGCTGCAAATTCTAATATCAAGTTAATTTTATTTTTGCTCAAAATATTGTAAAAATACTCACAGTTCCTTGTTATAATATTTGTAACAAATATTCTATAATTATATTACATACATTTATATAGAAATTTTAACATTCAAATAGAAAAATATATTTTTTGAAATTTTTAGTTTCTGTCAAAATATGTAAAATGTCCGATTATGAACAGACGATTCGCTGAATATCATCGAATTAGTTAATCTTGCCAATACCGATTATCCCACGTTCTGAATCTAAGGTTAATAAGGTGTCAAGTGATCACTCGATATGTAACGTAATCCGTATAAGCAGCCATCGAATACTGGCGCTTTGCTCCTTCAAGCGTGAATACTCACGTAGGTAAACAAGGTTAATAAAATAAAGCTATAGGCCATTATTGCTATTACATATAATTCATTCCGCGTTGTAACGAGATTATGATGTAATAAACTAATACGATTAAGCGATTACCTACCAATGTATTGATAATTATGACATAATAATTAATGATGTATTTATTTGCCAACTTGTAAAAATAATCTTGAACCAGTAAAAAATATTATAATTCTATATTCAAATAGATACACACATAAGTGGAATGCGACACGCCCTACGTTATATTATACATATGTTGCCTTCGAATTTTTCTCTAATAGTTAGCTTTCAGAAGCGAAATGTTTTTAAAATAATTCTTAAAATAATTTATAATTTATAATCTTTAAAATCGCGAGAATAAAGAGATGCGAAACATAAGCTCGTTGTATTACATTGCTACTATTTTAATAGATCACACATGTGTTTAACAACTTTAATATTTACTGTGGACTTTTGTCAGATCGCAGAATTCGAATGGAAGATTTTAAAACCGGCTTTAATATCTTGTATAAATAGATGGGCAAAGCGACCCGAAATGAGCAAACCCATCGACATCGCCTCGCACGCTCATAAAATTTATCTCTCCATATTTAGCCGATGGTGTCACAGTTACGGCAAAACACCATGCCGATGATGATTGCGTCATTGCGAAGCGCCGAAATTTCTACCTTTCCATTGCCTTTTTAATCAACAAATACTCGTCAAAAAGAAAAATTAACTTCTAAATCGAACGCGAGTGAACAGAAAATCCATGAGAAATAATATTGAAATAAGCTGTGTGTAATTTACAGAATATCGCAAAATCTAACAATATGTATTTTAATGATGGTTTGGATGACGTTTTTAGATTATATTCATTAATCTTAAATAAAGATTTATTTAATTAACTTATTAACGTATTATTCTCCGCATTTTGTTCCAATAGCTTTTCTATTACACATGTTTGGTTAATTTTAAATCAAAAAATCTTAATTTTTTCTAGAGATTATCTCATAAAATTATTTTAGATATATTATCACTGTTAAAATAAAATTATATAG